CATCTCTCTCACACATCAGAAAGGAGCATGTGGCAGGAAGAGGGGCATCTGCACCACGTCCTGGCTTCTGCTTCCCACCGCCTCTGCTCCTACTAATGCGATCTTGGTCATGTCACTTCCTCTGCCCCACATGGGGACAACAGTCCCCAGGAGAGTTGTAAGGGGTGGGACAGGCAGTGAGCCATTCTGCTGTTGGGCATTAAGAAATAAGCTCAATGGGATGTTACACCCAGCAATCACTAAATCTTTTTGAGGGGTGGGGAATTCACAGCGCAAAGAGCCTAATCCCATGGCGTCAGGCCTGCTAAGCACCCTTGGGATAGCAGTAGAATCAGTGCCACCCCCTGCTTTGTGCCCCCCAGCGGTCTGGCTGCTGTGGCTTTGATGTAGGCCCAGCTGGATGGGACCAGGCAGGATAGGACAAGTGGCGTGGGGTAAACCTGGCCCAGATTGCTGTTCTGGCCCAGCCCTTGGGTGAGGGCCTCGCAGTGCTGAGGGCCCACTATGGTCTGCATTTTCAGGCAAGTGCCTGCTTGTGGGGAAGGTAAAACTGCTCTCTGAATTGCTGAGCCCTTAAACTCACATATGCACTGATGCGCACCTGCTGTGTGTGCAGTACATGCACAGACACAAACACCCCGATACATGGGTGCTGCACACTCACAGGAGCACATGAGCACATGTGAACGCCCTGATCAGTCCCGTGCTCATGCACAGACTTGCACACACAGTGCACACGAATTTGCACAAACTCCCCCAGACCCTGCATATGTACATGCACACGCCTATACTTGAGGGAAAGACGGCCTGCCTGGCCTGGTGCCACCCACACTTCTGTAAGTTTCCCTCATGAGAACAGTCCTAGAAGAAACTTGGCAGTGGGGATTAGGTGCTGGGGCCAGGTGGGGTGGGGTGGGAGAGAGGAGTTTGGCACAGAGTTCAGGGCTGAGTGATGTTTACGCTGCTCCCAGGCTGGCCGGCTTCGTCAGTGGAGGCCAACAGCCCCCTTTCCAGAGGGTGTCCACTTGGGTTCCTTTTCTGTGAAGTGGGTGGATGATGATCATGATACCTCCTTTTGGGAGCCGAGGTGGGATTCGGAGTGTAATGAGCGGAGCTCCGTCGTCATGCTCGTTGTCTGGAGCTGAGGGCTCCGGAGACAGCTCGGTTCAGCTCCCAGCTCCACCGCCTCCTCGCTGTGTGACATTGGGAAGGTTGCTTCGCTCTTCTGCCTCAACTCCTACATCCGTAACGGGGAGCAAGGTAGCACCTACTGTTAAATTCATACAGGGGAAGCACTTGAAATGTGCCTGGTGCCTAGCGAGCACCCCAAACTGTGGGCTGCTATTGCCATGGATGTAGCTGTGAGCTCAAAGAGAGGCATTGCCCAGGCCTCTGACAGCCCCGAACCTGAACCTGGACCCAGAGCCGTCCCCAGGCTGTGAAGGGAGAGCGTTGGGAGTGGCTGGAGGGGCCAGGACTGCTGATGCTGGTCATGTCATGTTGATCTCAGCAGCGATGACTGGCCCCAGTGCCCCACAGCCCACCGTGGGCACAGCACCACGGCCGGTTTATCCCCCTCTCTGGTTTTTCACGAACCCGTCCCTCCCTCTCCATCCCCTCTGCCCTCCTTCAGCCCAGGTGACCATCACTCTCATCTGTTCCACCCTTTCTTTCTCTAACCATCAGAGGAATCACCTAATAGTGAACACTGGTCCTCACCTTCCCATGCTGTAACCCCTACTATAGCTCCCCTTTGCCCTCAGAGTCCAGGTCATTTCACTTGGCTCCTGAGAGGATCTGGGTCCTGCCTGCTCGCCCACCTCTTCCCTGTAGCCTCCTGGGCCCTGCCCACACCAAGCACAGGCAGCCATTACCTGTTTACCATTAATTGGACCTGCATGGGATAGTGTGTTGGTCAGGACAGATAGACTATTCTCTGTGACAAATAACCCTGCTACTTCTCAGTGGTTCACTCTATAAGTTTATTTCCCAGTCACACTATTTGTCCAACATGAGTCAGTTGTGGGGAGGTGCTTTGTTCACATAGTCCTTGGGGACCCAGGATGATGGAAGCTGCACCATCTGGAACATGTGACCTCATCCTTCCAGCCAAGGACAAGAATTCCAGAGGGTCACAGGCAGGTCTTACATGCTTCAGCCTGGAAGTGACACTGGTCGCTTTTGCCCATGATTCACTGGCTAGGCCTAATAGTGGCTGTCTAACTGCAAGGAGGCTGAGACAGGATGGGAGCAGTGGAATATCTGGTGAGCATCACAGTAGGCCACACACAGGTCCCCCACCACCACCATCGGCACCCTCCGCCCCAGTTCATCCCCCACCGCTCAAGACAAGGCAGGAGTAGGGTCCCAGGACCTGAGCCTGCTGACTTGCCCCCTACTTTGCCACCACCCACGCAGGCTCCAGGCAACTCATCAGCTGCCACCTAATTGCCAAGACACTGGGGAGATCATTATCCCTTGATCTTCCTTCCTAAGATGATCTTTAGGACCCATTTCTCTCAGGACACAGAGCAGAGCAAAGCCAAGCTGCTCCTTAGCAAGTGGTGGCGTTTATCTTACAGACACTGAGTAAATCCCTTTCTGATTCTGTTTCCTTTGTCGAATTGACCACTAGGAAGCTCAGACTCAAATTTCGCCCCCTGAGGTCCACTTCCTCTGTGTGCAGGGTCTGGCAGCACACGTTTGTAGTTGACTCCCCCCACATTTCAGGTGATCTCTTGGTTCTCGCATTTTCCCTCTGTCCCCATTTCCTCACCATGGCATTTGTGTGTGTGTGTGTGTGTGTGTGTGTTCTGTCTATTTCTGTAAGGCTTCCTACATCCTTTCTGGGATCAGATGGGCATTAATTAGGCAGTCAGTCCCTGCGTTCTGTGCTGCCTCCTGTAGCTCTGGCAAATACAGCCAGCGTTTTGGGCAAAGGTCCTAAAAGGCAAGTTGAAATACCTGAGCTTCACAGGATAGACCCGCCCCGACAAGGCTGATGGGCCACCTGGTAGGGTATAAAGGGCTTGGCTCAAGGATCGGGCCCCTGCTCTCCATGATCTCCCAAGGTCAGCAGCCTAATCTTGTGCCTTTGAACTGAGCCCAGAGAAGAGCCTCAGGCCGCCAAGCAGGCTGGGTCAGTGCCTTCTTTGTCCTGACCTCATGGATGCCCGGCCAAACATGCCTTCCCCTGGGAAATGCCTGGGGGCCTGGCGTAGGCAAAGCACTGTGCCAGGCATTCCTGGGGTAGCCCCAGGCCTTTCTCTGACATATGTGCAATCTGGTAGAGGAGACCTGACACCAAACTGCAAATCAGGAAAGACAGTGTCAAGGACCAAAAGTCAAGGAGGAGAGACAGAGGAGAGCAAGAGATCCGCTACTCCAGGTCAGCGCTGGAGGAGGGCGCCTGGGAGCTGGGGAAGGGGAGGATTTGGACTTGTAGAGATGGGTATGGGCAATAGGGGGCTGGAAAGAGCAAGCTAAGCAGAGGGAAAGGCAAGGGTGAGGGCCCAGAGGACTGCAAATGCAGGAGCAGGTGCAAGGGAAGCTGGGTGGTGGTCTTTGTCTGGAAGTTATCATTTAGAAGATGAGCAAGAAAAAGTAAATCTTGGAATATGGGGTGGGACCCAAACCGAGTCTGGCCTTGATCCTGTAGGACATCAGTGAATGGGGTGCATCAAAGGGTGGTCTAAGGTGGGGGCCTTGGTGGGAGGAATACAGTCAGGCTCAGTGTCCAGAACAATCCCTCTGGCTGCACAGGGAACATGGATAGGAGGGCCCAGTGGGTCAGTGAGACTGAGGGGCAGGAGTTTGAATGGAGCAGCAGTGGGGAGAGAGGAGGCCACATGGTGTCATGTGTTTGGCAATGAGTCCCAGACCCTCTTACAAGCCATTCATGATCTAGCCCTGCTCACCCCTCCAGCTTGTATTCTCTTCATTCAAACCATCCAGTCTACATGTTATATGTGTGAATTTTTTTTTCTTTTTAGCATCTCCTTGCTAATCTTACCAATCCACATGTAGTTCCCCAAACATTTCATGTTGGCTTCTATCTTAGGGCCTTTGCTCAAGCTGTTCCATCTGCCCAGACACCTTCCCTCCAGCTCACCCTTGTCCAGCTTCCATGGCCAGCTCCTACTCATCCTTCAACTCACAGCTTACATGTCACTTCCTCTGGGAAGCCCTCCCTGACTGCCATGTACAAACCTCCATTATTACCTATGGTACACTGGGTCCCAGTGGCCCAGACTCACTGGTGGCCTCACTCATAGGACTCTTGGCCCCTGTAAGGCTGGGCTTAGCCTTGTTCTCTCCAAACCCCCAGTGCCTGGCATAGGACTTAGTCACATGGTGGTGCTTAGTAAATACTGAGTGAACAAATACAAGGCTGGATGAAGAACAAGGGAAGGTCAAGATGCCTGGATGATAATAGTGGTTGTAATTATTGCTGTTGAGTGAGAGATCTTAATGTATCATCTAATTTAATCCTTACAACAAGTCTATGAGACAGATAGTTTCTTTGTCCCCATTTTACAGATAAGGAAACTTGAGGCTTCAGAAGTTAAGTCATTTGGCCATCCAGCTAGCAAGAGGCAGAGCTGGAACTCGAGCCCAGGGAGACTGGTTCCAGAAGACATATTGTTACCCACTTAACTAGGCTGAGTGGGGCAGGGTGGCTGGGCTGTTGGGTGAGGTGCTGGATAGGGAGAGAATAGGGTGAGTTCTCTCTGTGGTTTTTCTGCCTTTTTATGTTCACACTGGAAGGGATGAAAAGCAAACAGTTCAGCAGTAACTATCCATCATCTCACTATGTCCATAGAAGTAGCCACAATTAAAGCCTGTTCACCTGGGAGCCCTTTATAGCACATTACTATCCTCGTAGAACTGAGCGTTATCCTGGTCACACCCTCTTACGTATTCTCAAGGTGAGACTCCACGTGCCCTGCTGTGTCCTGCAACGAGCCTCACACCTCCTCTGTCCCATTTGTCTCCGGCAGATGTCATGGCACCCCCAGTACCGGAGCTCCAAGTTCCGCCACGTCTTTGGCAAACCAGCCAGCAAGGAGAACTGCTACGACTCCGTGCCCATCACCCGCAGCGTCCACGACAACCACTTCTGCGCTGTGAACCCCCACTTCATCGCGGTCGTGACTGAGTGTGCTGGTGGGGGGGCCTTCCTCGTCATCCCTTTGCACCAGGTAAAGAAGCCTGCTAAGCCCAGGTCCAAACAGCTCTCTGGAGGCAGCGCAGGACAGAGGGAAGGTAGAGAGAGCTTTGGTTTCCGTCCCGTATGTGGGTTCAAGACCTAGCCCTGCCTGTTGCCAGCCGTGTCACGAGTGACCACAAATAAGTCATTTCACTCCCTTGAGTCTTAGTTTCCTCATTGGTAAAGTATACCTCTCCTGGGATTTTGGCTTCTAGCAGTCATCTAGGACTCCTGGGACCTCCCCTCCACCCCACTGCAAAGCATTTCACTCCTGAATAACATTTAATTCTTAACGCACTGCTGGGCTAACTAGACGTTGAGGAAGTCTTGAAAAACCACCTCCTCTCCCCAAGAAAGGGAAAAAACCTGAGCCAAAATCTAAGTAGAAAAGGTAAGCAGCAAGTGAACAGGAAGAACAGGCTTGTCCTGTGACGAAGGTGGACAGAATAAGTTGGGCCATATGCAATTGCTGATATTTAACAGTTTTTGACCCCAAATGGCAGTTTCACATAGATCAACTTGATAGCAGGTCTTTTCAGGATCCTGAGTCTCTGCCTTGAGGCAGAATCTCTGAAGGGGCTCGAGGGATCTGGGCTTGGGAGTGCCTCTGGCTTGCCGCAGAAGCAGATACAGAGTTTCTCCAGAGAGAAGCATTCCCAATGTGGACAGGATTCCCACAGATTAAGATCAGGGAAATTCGTAAGCTGAGAACACCAAGCATGTAAACATCCATGAGTGAGCGTCAGACTTAGACAAACAACAGACTTAGAGCCCCAAAGGGCTTTAGAAGTTCAAATCGTAAATACAGATTGGACTCTCATAGATCAGGTTTTCTGATCCCAGTGCAGTTGAGCTAGAAATCAGTAACAAAAGATAAATGTTAAATGCCTATTCATTTTGAAATTTAGAAACACCTTTCTAAATAACTTCTAGATTAAAGAAGAAATCAAAATAGAAATTTAAAAATACTTGGAAATGAATGATAGTGAAATACATCACAAAACTTACAGGATACAGAGAAGGTGGTGCCTCAAGGGAAGTTCATAGCATAGATGCTTACATTAGGCTGAGAAATAATGACTCAACATTCACTCTAAGAAGTTAGAAAAAGAACAACAGAGTAAACCCAAAGAAAGTTTGAGGAAGGAGGTAATAAAGAGTAGAAATCAGTGAAAGAGAATCAATGATCAATTAAAGAGGATCAAGAGAGCCTAAAGTTGGTTCTTAGAAAAGACTGATAGACAAGCCTCTGGAGAGATGGTCAGAAATTAAAGAGAGAAGGTACAAACAGCACCAAGAGCAACAACAACAACAAAGGCAGTATCAGTAGAACTTCAAAAAATAGGAGCAATTTTATGAGAATGTATTTGAAAATGTTGGCAATATGGACAAATTCTTAATATCTATATATATATATATAATATATATAATTTGTCAATACCAATTCAAGTAGAAATACAAAGCCTGAATAGTCCTGTAACTGTTTTCAAAATTGAGTAATAAAAATCTCTCTTAAAGAAAACAGCGGAAGGAAAAGGCAAGCCATGAAGTGAGAAAGGATATTTGCGCAGTAAACATGACAAAGAGCTCATTTCCTGAATGTATAAAATGAACTGGGGGGGGGGACAAAACTGAACAGCTATCTCACAGCAGAGAAAATCCAAATGGTTGCTAAACATTTGAAAAAATGCTCAACCTTGTTAGTAAACCACAATGAGACACCACTGCAACTCACCAGCTTGACAAAAATGTAAAAATCTAGTAATAGTAAGTAATGATGAGGATATGGAGCACTGTAAACTCTCAGAGTCTTCTGGTGGCAGGGTAAACTGGCACACGTGTTTTGGAACGAAGTGTGACAGTTTCTATTAAAGAGGAAAATGCACAGACAGTTACTCAGAGATTCCACTCTTACATATTTACTATGCAAAACTGTGTGCTTAGATGTGTCAGAACACAAACACAAGAGTCTGCATGAGAGCATTGTTCATGTTATCACAAAACTGCAAAAACCTAAATGTCCAAGAATTGAATAAATAAATTATGGTATATCCATAATGTTGAATATACACAGTTATGAAAAGTCAAAGTATAGACATATACCATGACATGGATGAATCATAAAGACAATGTCGAGGAAAGAAACCAAATAAATTACAGTCTCGTTCTACTTACCTAAAGTTAAAAACAGACTAAATTACATTAAATTTTAAGGGATGCATAAGTAGAAAAATCTTAAAGAAAAGCAAGCAGGGGATTATCAAGAAAACCAGGATAATAGTTAACCCCTGGGGGAGGAAGGGAGGGAGGGAGGGAGTTATGATTGGAAAGTGTTGCATAGAAGGGAGTCTCCACTGTGCTGGTAATGGTTCATATCTTGACCTGGGGAGATGGTGGTTATATGGTTAAATTTATTTTTTTTTAACAATTCATTAAGCTGAACATTTACATTTTATGCATTTTTTTAGTATATTATATTTCACACAAACACACGAAACAATGACACTTGGCCCATGTGGTTTGTTTTTTGTTTGGTTGGTTTTGTCTTTATTTTCCCTAGAGGGGAAGTCATTTGTTTGTTTACTTGTTTGTTTTAATGAAGGTGCTGGGGATTGAACCCAGGACCTTGTGCATGCTAGGTATACACTCTACCACTAAGCTATACCCTCCCCAAGTCCATGTGGTTTTATGGGCAATTTTTATGTAACTTTCAAGGAAATTATTCTTCTACTCTTTTACCAACACCTCCAAAGACTAGGAAAAGAGGGGCTGCTCCCTTCCTTGTTCTGAGGCCGGTATAACCTTGATTCCAAAACCAGATAGGAATAGATCAAGAAAGAAAAATTACAGGCCAGTATCACTCAAGAAGATGAATGCAAAATTATTAGCAAATCGAATTTAGTAATGAATTGAATAAAGATATATTCTGACCACACTGGATTTATTCCAGAAACTGAGTGATTTAATATTAGTAAATCTATAAATATAGATCACTATGTTAGCACATGAAGGGAGAAAACCCATGTGGTCATCTCCATAAATTCAGAAAAAGCATTTTAAGAGTGCAGTACCCACTACTGATAAAAATTCTTTGCAGACTAGGAAAGGGGAAGTTATAGGAACATATAAATATAACATATAAGAGACAAAGTTTTTAAAACTTTTTATTGAAAGAATCTCAACCCTACAGAAAAGTTGCAAAAATAGTTGAATAAAGTGATTATCCTTCACCTAGATTCACCAGTTGTTAACATTCTGCCAAATATACTTTTTATCTCTTTTTATATCTTTTTCTCCATATGTGAGTATACAGAAATTTCACTTCTGGTCCAGAATCCAACTCAAGATCATGCATTTTATTTAGTTATCATATCTCTTAGTCCACTTTATTTCATGATATTGACATTTTAAAGCAGTAAAGTCCAGCTGTTTTGTAAACATTCCTAAATTTGGATTTGTCAAATTGTTTCCTCATGATTAGATTCATGTCATACATTTTTGGCAAGAGTATTAAACAGGTGATGTGTATCCTCAGTTCATTACATCATGTGACACATGATATCAGCTTGTCCCATAACTGGAGATGTTGGTGATATTTGATCTATTTGTTAATATGATGCAAACATCATTTATAAAGAGGGAATGTTAGAAACAACCCTTTAAGATCAGCGATAAGATAAAAGTTCCTGGCCTGCATAGTACGACTAAGAAAATAAGTTAAAGGTATAAGGATTGAAAAGGAAGAAGTAAAACTACATTATTTGCAGATGTGATTGTCTACATAGAAACCCAAAAGAACATATAGTCAAATTATTAGAAAAATAATAAGAATGTTTGGAAGGTAGCTGGATAAAAAAAATCAGAATACAAAAATGAATCACAATTTTACCTACCAAGAATGCTTGGAAAATGTAAGCATTTGCAGTAAAATAAAAGAAAAGTGAATACCTAGGAATAAATAAGTGAAACTGAAAAGAAGAAAATTACAGTGCATCATTTAAAGGCTAATGTTGAAGGTGACCTAGTAAAAGGAAATATGTACCATGTTCATGAATAGCCACTTTTCATCCGTTCCCCAGATGTCCACAGCATTCTCCTTTTTATGACATATGCCACAGACCATTCCTGTCTTGGGATACTGTGCCTTGAGTTCTTTGAATTAGAGTCATTTGTGTTCTTTTGGTAGCACCTCCTCATGTACTTGGAATAGTGAGAAAAAGAACCAGTACTTTGTTTACCCATATACCACCTTGTGGCCACAAAGATGGTGCTCATACATTTTCACTGATTGAACAAATTACCCAGTGATTGTTCATCCAAATAAATAGAGAGGCATGCTTGTTAAAGGGAAGGGCACAAGCCAAGACATGGAGTTGAGACTGTGCGTGGAGTGTTCATGGAACAGTGCAGAGAGCAGTCTGGCCAGAACAAATGAACAGTCTGTGAAGGGCAGGAAGGGAAATATCCTGGGAAGTGGACTGGGGCCAGGTGAGAAGGGCCTTGAACGCCAGGGTGAAAAGTGTAAACTGTATTCTAGAAAGAGATGACATTTTTCAAGCTGAGGAGGGACAAGTGTAAAATGGGATGTAAGGAAAGACTTGAAGGTCAGAGCTGGAAAGACCCCTAGAGATGGCCTGTTCAGCTACTTGCTTCTCCTGAGCTCTGGGTGCTTTTGAAAGATTCTGTCCACCAAACAAACTATATTTTTAATGAATTAATTAATGTGTTTTCCTGCTCTTTATTACTTAGACTCTCAGAACTCTCCATTTCTAGCTAGCATGAACTACTCAGTATAAATAGGTACTAATGACTGAGAGTAAGAAAATAAATTGGTTTGATGTGATGGGGTGTGACCTGGGTGCGAAGAGGGGACCTAGTTTAGATAGATTGATTAGAGGAGGCCTTTCTGGGGAGGCAACATTTGCACAGAGAGCCACTCAAAGTTCTAGAGGCAGAGTGTTCAGGCAGACTGGATAGCAAATACAAAGGCCC